GCTCTCTCCCTGGCCCACGTTCCCCCGGTCTCGGTGCTGCTTCCCCTGCAGGAGTCAGTCTTTGATCCTCTGAACTCAGAGGAACTTTTTCCCCCAAAGAAAGGCAAATTGCAAACAATGTGTTTTCGCCAACTAATACCAAGTATTAAAGCTGATGTTAAAAGAGCTGCTTGTGGATCCGGGCACAGCTTTTAGGAGGATACGTAAGTGGGCTTGGCCCGGGGCGAGTAAGCGCCGAGGGCATTGTCCGCTGAGTGCCGGGTAGTCCGGGTGCTCCTGCACAGGTGCGGGTGCTGGTGCTGCCCGGCCACCTGCGGGTCCACGCGGGGTCCCCGCGCTGACCCGGAAGCCTGGTGACACAGACGTTTGTGTGCGCGCTTTGTAAGCGAATAAATTTTTATTGAATGTATAAACAGAGGAGCTCTTCAGTCCTTTTGTTTTCACATTGTCCCCGAAGGTTGGTGAAACTTGCTTGTGCTGGTGAACTTAACCAACTCCAGACTCCGCAGACGACTCTCTTCCCTGCTGAGGCCAGCTACTGCAGGACTACGGTGTGAACGCATGTGTAGAATTGCGGTCATTTCACGAAAAGTAGGGAAGAGTTTCCTTCAGAGTATTAACATTCATAAGGAATTCTGAGTGAATCTTTATCAGCATAGACGTGTATTCCTGACCCAAACCATTTTCCGTAGCCTGGTATTCTCTACAGGTTAATACTGGGCCAGAAAAGTAACCCAGGTTTACTGTTGAAGTGGGTAGTCTATGGGACAGTGCTCAAATGTGTTGTCCCATTTAGACAGACTTTTCAAAATAAAACTGAACAATGAAAACACTTAACAGCCGAATCATTGATATTTTGGCGTGCAATCAACATGGCCTGTTAAGGAAATAAGCCTGAAGTGTCTGAATCCTCAGAACTGTTTCTACTTTATTGAACTGATGTTGACATACATGAAAGTTAACTTTGACAAGTTATTGTACATTGAATACAATTTCAATATTATCAATACAGATACGTAGATTTAAAAATAAAAATTTCAGGGAAAGTTTCTCATCTGTTTCGCCTATGTAGAAATAAGCATTTAAAATAATATTGTTAATTTCCTTTTAAAGAACACATAAGGCATTTAAAATACTTTTCACCATAGGAACTGCACAATAAAGAGTACCCTGTTTTGAAGAGTAAATCTTTCATTCATGGGTTTTCTTTTCATGATGCTCTAAGATATCTAGGAGAGAAAAGGGAGAATGAAGAGGAAAACCTAAGGATGACATTAGTGAGAATTTATCTCGATATTACTCATGAGACAAATTGAGTGTCTTGGTATAATTCAGCTACAGCAAATTGAAAAAAAAATCTCTGCACATCTCTCTATTGACGCTCCCAGGAGTGTTACAGGAAATTACTGGCAAGGTGTATGTGAAACAATTTTGAGAAAAAGCATAGACTAGTAAGTTACTTGGGACTGTTTAGATAATTGCCTCACTGGTGAGGATGAATGCTTGCCTCCAAGAAAACCTTACTAGTGACTTTTTTGGTAAGGCTCTTTTAAAGTCTCCCAGTTCTCCCCAAATGGGAAGCATCTTCATGCATACTTTTTGGACAGTGATACAACCAGACCAATCAAATGTCAAAATGAAATCCTGTGAAATTTTAACAGTGGGGCTTATGTGATTCTAATATTTTTGCTTTTGAGAATTCCATATAATAAACTTGGTTTCTTCAAAGTTACCTTAAGGAAGTTTTGTTTGTTTGTTGTTGTTTTTTTAACATAGCAGACTTAAACCATCTTAGCTCAGAATGACAAATGTCATAGTGTTTTGCTCATATTCTCAAACAGTCTCAATTTTTTAAATTGAAAGCACAAAAATGATTTTTTTTGGCTTAGAAATGCTAAGGAATTTATATCCTAACATTGATTGTGGTGGAAGCTTCCAGCTCTGGAATCGAGGCAACTATGTCATACATAAAGACATGTGTTGCTGTATGTGGACGCTTAGGATGCTTTGTACCTCTGAAAATTGTTGGAAGAGTGAAATTTAACTGATTTAGGCATGTTTCTGCACTTAGATACCAGTTTGTTCACATACACAGGATAGGACCTATCTAGGTAAGTACAGTAACGCTGAAATTCATTTCTCTGAACTTCAGCTAATTCAAGTGTCTTATCTACTCTTTCTGAGATTTCCTAGTTAGTAGTCAGTGCAGTTGTACTTGGTGTGCAGAGAAGTGCTGTGAAATGTACTGAAAGTGCAGTGACGAAGCTGCTGAAAAGAAAAACCCTGCAATGTCTACAAGCAAACAGCTGCCCCTAAAGACTGAAAGTTTTGTTTCCCTTCATGAAGAGGTAGGGGGTGTTGGAGAGGTGGAGGTAGGCCATGATTACTTGAATTTCATTTCCTCCTCTGCAGTTGTTTTTCCTGTTCATTGACTCTGAAGTAGACAAAAGCAAGCGCCAGGTGGGAAATGAATTGGAAGAGATGCTTGACTAGTTAGTCCTTCGGTAATTTTAGTAAAGAATTAAGACTTCCTAAATAATAATAGGTATCTGAAGCAATGAAATTGGAGTGACCTTATGTCTGTATTAGAATGCTGCCTGATTTTCTATGTGGTTCATATTTAAAATAGTAAAGACAGTAGTTATAAGCGTTTCAAATAATTATTTACAAGTACTGCTCCTGGCTACTTCTGTTTTCACACAGAAGTGTAAAGATTGTTACTTGAAGATTATTCTAACTTCACTTCGCAAAGTTTACAAAACTTTGAGTGGCATAATTTCCTATTCTACTGTGTTGCTTCGTTTTTCCTGTGCTTGTCTCCTTCTCCTGAAATGTGTAACAACCATAGGCTCAGCCCTGCCAACCTCGGGTGTATGGCCTTTTGTAATGATTGTTGACTCTTGAACAACATGGAAGTTGGGGCACCGACCCCTGCACAGTCAGAAATCCCTGCGTAACTTTTTTCTTTTTAATTGGAACATAGTCAGTTTACAGTGTCGTGTCAGTTTCTGGTGTACAGCATCATGTTTCAGTCATACATATATATACATATATTCCTTTTCATATTCTTTTTCATTAGAGGTTACTACAAGATATGGAATATAGTTCCCTGTGCTGTACAGAAGAAACTTGTCTATCTCTTTGACTCGTCCAAAACTTCCCTAATAGCCTACTGTTGACCAGAAACCTTAATAACATAAACAGTCAACACATATTTTATACATGTATAATATACTGTACTCTTAAAGTAAGCTAGAGAAAGGAAAATGTTATTGAGAAAAACATAAGAGATACATTTACAGTACTGTACTGTATTTACTGATACTTTAAGTTTACATCATCTGTTTACAAGATGAATCATTTGTCAGTACCAATGTCAGGACTGTCTTAGAAGATACAAAATGCTGTAGATGTTACACATACTAATACTAGGCATAAAAAAATGAACCGATAATGTGAGAAATGTGCATTTATTTACAGGGATAATGATTCATGCATTGATGACAAAGCAGCAGCAATGTGATTGCTTCATGGTCGCCTAGTGTAGTTGCCACAGTTGCTCACAGCAGCCTAGCCTATACGCTAATGAATGAGTCAGTATAGAAATTTATGGCATACAATATTGTAGTCATATTCATAATGTATTGGAAACACTTAAATTAAAATTTAAAAATAGCCCACTTATTTGTGGTGATAGCTGATAGGCAGTTTCTCCAATTGTGACACTGTACAGTAATGTAATTCTTTGAAAGCAAAGTTATAAAACAGTAAGAAAACTAATACATTATTAAATTTATTTTAAATATCACTCACCTTATGACTTTGTGAGGGTAGATTTGTGTCATAATTTTATGCATTCATGGCATACCTTTTTCTTAATTGTTTTGATATTTCTAGGCTACGAAGTTCATCTGTCTTTTCAAATTGTTGCAAATCTCCAACATTTCCCAGTATATTTATTGAAAAGAACCTGCAGGTATGCAGACCCATGCTGCTGAAGCCTATGTTGTTCAGGGGTCGGCTGTACATCTCCCTGCCAGCTCGCCTGCTTTTGCCCAACTTTGTAATCCACGTGGTTGAGAAGGACCAGCTATATAATAGGAGCTTTGTATTCTCCCATTATTGTTCAAACCTTAGTTGCTGTTGCTACTTAAATTATAGTTAACCTGTGAAGACCTGCTTTCCCAAAGAGCTGAAACCCTTCTTCATCCAGAACCCGAGAAATAGGCTGTACTTTTCTGTGCTCTCTTCCTGCTTCCGTTAGAAGTGTACTGCCCTTTTAGTCCACGTCCTTGTGTTTTTGTTTTGACCATGATAATTGCAGTGGGGTTTTGGGGTTTTGTTTTGCTTTTCTTGCAATAACCATTGCTAATAAGTGATAGAAGTCAATGCCCAGATCAGCCTCCATTGCTGTGCTGTTTATAGCGCATACTGCTCTTGTGTGACCACTGCGAGTCGAGGACAGAGGAAGCAGGAAAAGGAGGGAGAGGGCTCCCAAATCAGGGGGCTGAGTGAACGGCCATGTCAGTTCCTAACTGAGATTAAAGTACAGCAAGAGGGGAGACGTGGAGCAAGGGAGTTGAGGTTAGTTAAACTTTTTGGGCCTGAGGATATGTGAGCACATGGAGTATGCAGATATGTACAGACTGGAGCTCAGAAGGGCGAGGTCCAGGCTGGAGGTGAGATGTGAGACCCATTGAGTGGGGATGGAGTGCCTAGGGAGAGAGCATGGAGGTTTCTGTGACTGGAAGCCCTGGAACGCCAGCCCTCCCAGTGGGCCCAAGAGCCTGTAACGAAGGACTGGGTAATTTGGAGGGGAAACATGAGCGTGGTGTCCTGAAGAGTTCCAGGAGGATGGCATGTGGGGGTTAGGCAGTGCTGGGGGTGTTCAGGGAGGTAGGAACTGAAAGTCATCCTCTTAGATTTGGCACGCAGGCGATCAGTCGGTGATGACTTCTTAGTAGTTGGGACGAAGTAATTCTCTGATAAGCCTGAGTCAGGACTAGGTGTATCTGGGGGTCACTATCCTGTTGTGAGACTAGTCGTTTTCTCTCTTGACGTCTTGTGGCCGTGGCAGCAGGAAGCTGGTAGTGTCTTCAGAGTTGGCGCCTCTGGGGAGAGGAGATGGGGACTGTCCCTGGACTTCACCAAGTACCTCTTCTCCTTTTTGAGTTCTGAATCCTAATGTACTACTTATTCAAAAGTTTAACTTTTGAATAAAACTTTTGAAAGAAAGTGGGATTTCCAGGAGAAATTGGGAGTGACTTATCTTACGTGGTGCCATGTTCACCATTATTATTCAGATAATATCATCATTATTCCTCGTTCAAACGTCTGGCTCCCTCATTAGAATCCACGCTCCTGCTGTAGGGGAGCAGGGACATTTTACTGTCTGTGTCTCGGTGCCCTGCATAAGGGGCTGGCCTATCACGGGTGCTGAGCACTGTTTACTAAATAAATGGCCCCTGCTTCCATGGTTACATAGTCCTTATGGAAGATAGGTGTCCCCATGTGCAATGCCAGCACAGTACAGCACAGAAGAAGGTTTAATCCAAGGGAATGGCACCATTCTTGCTTTTTGTCCACATTGTGGGTGGCCTGGTTCAAATGCCCTGCCCTCTCCCGTTGTCCCTGGGGGGAGTGTGCAGGTGGTAGCAATAACCTTTGTCCCTGTGCCCTTAGTGAGGGGCAGCAAACCTGCCCATTGACTCCGTTTCCAAGTTGGTTGGGATGATGTGACAGCATTTTCGAGGCACCACTTGGGAGGGAGCCCTGAGAGCAGCCTGTCTGGCCACCTGCCCTGGTCCTGGCCTCATTGCCTGGAAGGTGCTCCGGGTCGGGCCTGTTGTTCTTTCAAACCTCAAGTGCACTGAGGGCTCCCTGCTCTCCTTTCATCTTTCTCTTTGCCAGTTTTCCCTCATTCAGCAGGTCAAGTGTATATTTTTAAAAAGATATTAGTAAAAAAATGGAGTTTACTTGTTAGAGTGTCTAAAACAGTTTTTTAAAAATGGATTGACGGCCCCTGGAGGAGACTTAAAGAAACTCTTACTATTTAGTTTGGAATTAAAATTCTCAGATAAAACCCAGGTTTGAAGTTAAGGTAAATGAAAAATAGTCGACAAATTTGTCACAGTGGAGTTAAATTTAAGAAAATGATAAATTCATTCAGTTTGCTAAGTGATTATCATCATTTTTAAACAGCGGTACCTCTGAGCCATGTGTGGTGTGCATCAAATGATTCAGACAGTGTTGCTTTCTCTTCAGTAGAGAACAGCCTGATCAATAATTAGAAAATTTTTTCTCAGAAGATGAGGAAATTGAATACAAGTAACTTTGAAAGAAAATATGCAGTTGTTTTCAGCTTTCTATGCTGTGTTTTTTCAGTTATGTAGAAATTAGGGTATTCTGGGGTATTGTGGTATAGTTTTGAGAGATTTTAATTTCTTTAAATAAAATAGTATAATCTCCCAATTCAACATTATAATTTTACTGCAGGCTAAATACAGAAGGAAACGGGAAGGAGCAAAGCACTGATTACAGATGTCTTAATAATGAGCAAATGTGGCAGGAAAAAATATATTAAGACAAATCTCAGGTAGGTGGATATATGTTTTCCTCTTCCTTTGAAAGTTCAATTTAGAGAGCGTAAGGTTAAAATGATGGTTAAAAGAATGGTATGTATCTATGTATAACACGTGTGTGTGTGTGTGTGTGTGTGTGTGTGTGTGTATTATAATAATAGGATCACGTGTATCCACATTACTCAGCCGCTCAGTTCCGGCCTCCTCTTCTGCCGAGTACCGCACTAGGCGGTGTGTGCACAGGAGGACCTTCATGCTCAGCATCTGAAGTGCTGACCTCTTTCTCAGCGGGGAGACCGTGTGCAAGGATGAGGGCAGAGTTTTCTTTCTTGCCTGTAGTCTACACTTGTACCCAACATTGTAAAACAGAGGGAAGTCTCTACCAATGTTTTACGGAAATCCAAATGTTATTTTTCATGTTTTCTTTTAGTTACTTTTAGAGACATTCCGGTTTATCAGTTGGCTCTAACTTCAAAAAGAAAATGAATTTTCTATGACAGTTTTTGTAAAACTATTTAAAAATGGGTAATAGAAATGGCTTTAATAATCTTTCCTTTTGCAGCTGGATTCTATTTTTAAAAGAGGTGAGAACATTTTACAATGGTAAATATAGTTGCTCTGCAGTATAATTTGTCTTTGCAAATTGGATACAACTGAAATTTTAGAAGTTATTTGTTAATTGTACAGTTTAATTATAATTAGGAATTTTTGTCTTATTTTTCATTTAGATATTTTTGGCCTGTGTTCCTTTTCTCTTTTTTGTTTCTGTCTTTTAGGAACACTTTTCTGGGTATCTATGATAATATTTCTTTTAAATGCTTTCCCTTTTTCTTCTCGTTTTTCCTTCTCCTTAAATATCTTGTGTGTTCTTGATACACAGGTATGCCTAAGTAACTTTGGTCATTGATTACCTCAATATTTCTATAATCATAAATACGATTTTTACAAATATATTCCTTTGTATTCATTTCTTGAAAATATGTTGCACAAATAGTGTACAGACAATACTGTGCTGTTGTACTTCAGTGTTTTGGGGCGTTATTGCAATATGATGTAGATGTTCTATTAAAGGCCTAGAAAATAACAGAGTAAGCAAACACAGTTCTATCCCCCAAAAGTAGGTCATCCTAGAAGTCTTGGAACTTGTGCTAATTTTTGGATCCTGTTCTTTTAAAACAATAGTTATATTAACATTTATTAAACATTATTGGGATAACATTTACTTTTCTATCGAAGAAGAAAATGGCTTGCTAATAATATAAAGAAGATTTCAGAAGAAATATTTAACTTGGATAAGAAAAGAATATTGCAACTACTATTAATCATTTATAAGTTTAAATATACCCGTTTTAGCAAATCCTTATCTGTTCTTTAGAATTATGGCACCAAATATTTGCCAGTATTTTGTTTACTCTTAGTTTATAGTGATTAATGGGCTTTTTAATTTGTTTTAGTTTTTTATTGTTTTATCTCATATGTTTTTATTTTAAAATATTCTATAATTTTTATTTCCTAGTTGGTCTTTTTCTTTCTAATTTGGATTATTGTATAAGATTAAAATATTACATGATATATTTATAGATTATTAATATTAGTATAATTATATTTAAAATTTGTTACAGTAAGTCAGCTTTGGGGGAAATATCCTATGATACACTTCTTCAGTTTTTGCCATGACAAATGTAGTGAACATTGCAGGATTGAAATGGATCTCTCTCATACACTGCATCTAATAAGCTATGTCTGGACTAGCTGAGGCCAATTTGCAGACGTTAGTGTTTATGTACATCATTTCCAGCTGAGGTCTGGGTCCTGTATCTCCTATGAGGTCGTATTTGAAGGTGCCCAGTACAGTACTTGACCCATGTGGAGCGTTTAAATGTTAGTTGAACCTTCTGCCCCGAGTCCTGCCCTGGGGTTGTCTTTTAGTGGGTGTAGGAGGTTGTGCTGCAGAGAGTTGGCTATAAATCAGCAGGAAAATCTTGTTTGGAAATAACAGAGTGTACATTTTAAATTGGTAGTGCTGACCCAAACCTTACTCTTCTGTGGATGATTTTTACCTTCAAACAAAGTGATTTAGTATCAACTTTTATTGAATAACATGTACTGAGCACTATGCTAGGCACTCCAGAAGAATAAAATGGGATAAAATTGGAGCCTCCCCAGCCTACTGTGAAAGGCAAAGTGTACCTAAGTGAAGACCGTGGCAGCAGTTGCAGCATATACTCAAAAGCACACTGTTTCTGAGACTCACAGACACAGAGAACAGACTTATGATTACCAGGGGCAAAGGGGGTGGGAAGGCCCAAATTGGGAGTTCGAGATTTGCAGATACTAACTACTATATACAAAATAGATGCACAACAAGTTTCTTCTGCATCTTCTGTGTAGCACAGGGAACTATATTCAGTGTTTTGTAGTAACCTCTAACAAAAAAGAATATGAAAACAAATATATGTATGTTTACGTATGACTGGAGCATAATGCTGTTCACCAGAAATTAACACAACAGTGTAAACTGACTATACTTCAATTTTTAAGAGACAAAAAGAAAAAAAAGGACACCGTTTTTGTGAGATGTTATCTAAACTGGACTACTACTCAGGGCACTGGCTGTGGAAGGGACCCTGGGGTCACAGTCACAACACCTCTTGTTCACCCTCAGTTCTGCTGTCTGTTATGTGCCCTGTAAAAAGCCACATAAGTTCTCTCTGAACCTTATTTTTATCACTTTAGTAACATCTAACAGTTACATAGTCTTCCAGAGTAGTTGATTAATTGGCTTAGTTAATGATGATGGTAGATTCTGTACAAGGCACTGGGAATACCTTGAAATCTGAGATGTAATCTCCGTTGCTCACACCAGTGGTGGATCTCTGGGGACAGACGTGCATGATGCTCAAGTGTGGTAATGCGGGCTGCACAGGGCGCTTTGGGAGCTCACTACAGCTAATTCCACTCAAGGCTATTAGAAGAGACTTTTGAAAGATGGTGTCCTTGAGCCAGGCCTTGAAGAACTAGGAAGAATTTGCCTGTCACACAAAGAGGGGGAAGGGCGTTCCAAGAAGAGGGAAGAGTAGATGTAACAGATCAGAACTGGGGGAGTAAGATGTGTATTTGACCCAAAAATGGCTTATAAGGAGGCTGGGATGCAGGTTGTGGAAAGAACAGAGTGATGGGACACGAGGCTGAGGATAAAACGGGGTCACATTGTGAAAAAGGTGGGACGGCAGTGTGGGTTGGTAATTGAGAATATGGACTTTGGAGAAAGACCTCTGTTTGAAACCTGGCTTTGCCCCTCAATACCTCTGAGGTAGATCAGAGTCCTAACTTCCCTATGTCTCCTTTCCCTCACCTCTAAGAGAAGGACTAGTTGTACTGCCCTTACAAGGTTGTTAAGGATTAAAACTAGTAGGCATTTGCGATGTGGTAGGCGCTTAACAAGTGGTAGTTATAGTTCTGATTATTGTAAGAAGTTTGGGTTTTGTCCTGCAGTAGGAAGCCCCCAAAGAGTTCTGAGCAAAAATTTGTGTTTTAGAAAGATAACTGGCAGCAGGGAGAGTAGTGGCAGACTGTTCTTTAGAAGGTGGAGTCATCCCACCTGCTGATAACCCTGTAGGGATGAAGGGGAGAGGGTTTCAGGGGTGACACTCAGGGTTCCACTTGGGCAAGTGGGTGGGTGGTGGGGCCTCATTTCCTGAAACAGACTCAGAGAAGGAATGTGTTTGTGGAGGAAGAAAAGGAGTTTGTTTGGCCCCGTTGAGTTTGAAGTACATGCAGGGCATCTGTTTGGAGAAGTTAAATGGGCATTTGGATACATGCTTTTGGAATCTGAGAGAGACCTCTGGGCTGGAGATCTAGATTTGAGAGCCTGAAGCTAAAAGCTGCTGTTTGGATCCAGAGAAAATGGATGATATTACCCAGGGGAGACTTGAGAGCGGGGCAGGAGGGCTAACCAGAGCCCCGGGACCTGCAGTGTTGACGGGTAACGCTGAGTAGGGGCAGGAGTTGTCATAGGAGCTCCCGGAGACACTGTCAGAGTCGGATGAAAGTGGAAGGTCAGCACCATGACTTTAAGAGTCCAAGAAGGAGTGTGTCAGCAGTTTTGAGCACTGCTGAGGCTTCAGACGAGAGGACTTAAAATGAACGTTGAATTCAGAGACAGATTGATCACCTTTACTAGAGAAGCTGTAGTGAGGCAGAGGCCAGTTTGGAGTTTTTCTGGGATGAGGTAGGAGATGAAGAAATGGAGGTAGTGTTGGCAGTTCTTGAGGGTAGTTTAGAGGTGACAGGAAAGAGAGGGTCAAGAGAACAGCCAGAGAAGCGCGCCTGGTTCCCTGTGTGTGTGTATGTGTGTGTGTGTGTGTGTGTGTGTGTATATGTGGTTGGAGAGACATGAACATATTTAAATCTTGGTGGGAGGAAACCAGTGGAGCGGGCAGAGGGGGACTGACAGTGTCCTGAGTGTGATGCCCCTGAAATTTTACGTGATGTAGATGCTGGAGACCTAGAGCGGAGGAGGCCCCTGAGTGGGGTAAACATTCTCTCCTCTCTAGAGCAGTAAAAGCAGTTCTTAATCGGTCCCATCCAGACTTTCTGGTTGTCCTCATCCCAGTCAGCTCTGCCTCCTGCCCACCAGATCTCAATCAGGTCCCTGAGGCTCCCCAACGCCTCCCCAGGCCCTCTGCCGCCAGCTGCTCTGTGACTCCCTCCCCTTACAGCCCTCCTTTCCCTGTTTGGCGAATCCTCCTCATCCTTCCCTGCACACCTCAGGTGACCCCATCCTCAGCTGACCTCAGCATCATCTGTTTCCCAAAGTGTTTATTTATTTATTTATTTTTTAAACTTTTTTTTATTGAGTTATAGTCATTTTACATTTTACAATGTTTTGTCAAATTCCAGTGTAGAGCACAATTTTTCAGTTACACATGAACATACATATATTCGTTGTCACATTTTTTTTTTGGCTGTGAGCTATCACAAGATCTTGTATATATTTCTCTGTACAATACAGAATAATCTTGTTTATCTATTCTGCATTTTAAAATCCACGAAGAAAGTGGCCTGCATATTTTTGGTGTATGTATAAGCGTATTCCCACAGAACGTGGTGGGGCTCCCTTGGCAATGCTCCCCTGCAGTGAGGAAGGGGCCTTCAGTTTGGAGAGTTATGATTCTGCCACGAAATCTGTTTCTTGAAAAAACTAAAGTGGTACAATTGGATGATAGAAACGCATATCAGAAAGCCAGGTGAAAGCAGAGAACCATCTCAGATAGGGCCTTAATACTTCTCCCTTTTTATTGTCTTTTCAGACAAATGGAAACACTTGACTGTCAGCAGGACGGAGGTGTACCGGGCTCTGTGGCCGAGAGTGAGTCTGCTCACCTGCAGGCGCAGACTGGCCCAAATTCAGCCCCCACTTTAGCCCAGGTAAACCCAGTGTGGGCAGCAGGAGGCACCCCGGAAAGCTGGCCTTGTGGGTTCTGTTTTTTTGCATTTGACCTTGAGTTTCCCGTCTCCTGGTTCTCAGCCACCTTACTGATTTGACTTTGTAGCGAAGATAACGTGTTTGAATTACTTTGCGTGAAGGAAAACAAAACCCCTCCTTAGTTTGTAATCCTCAAATTATTATTTGAGAGGGTCGGTGATTCCAAATGGATCCAGTTTTATATTCTTTGCTATAAATATGGCAGAAATCATTTGTCCAGTATATATTTGGTTTAATCTTTACTTTCGTTTTAGTTAACCAATAGGAGTTAGCATTTGTTATTCAGCTCCTAAACTTTATTTCTGGGATATCTATAAAATAGGTGCTAAAAACAAACGCATCTATTTAGCTCATCAGATACCTCCTGAGTACCTCCTGTACGGAGGCACTGGTCTGGGGAGATGCATTTCCCAGCTGTAGGTATCGAATGGGCTTAGTGGGGCGGAGATGTTGGAGTGATGATTCCAGCAGTGTGAGAGGCTGGAAGCTGTCACGGAGCAGTGACAGGCGTGGTTGCCCGGAGTGTTTGTAGAGGATTTTACTTTCGGGCTGGACACAGGGTGAGTGGAGGCCGCCAGGTGGACAAGGATCAGGAAGCATGCTGCAGGCCTGGGAAGAGTGCGCAGAGGCCCAGGGGCGGAGAACGGGGTCAGGAACTGTAGTGTTGAGGGCCCGCTTGTCTGGCTGGGAGGTTGAGCTGGTCCAGGTCTGTCCTGAATTCTAAATGTTCTTGAGATGTCGTCCAGGGTTCATCGTGCTTCAGACCCAGCGGCCGGGTGGGGTTAGACTGGAAGTCAGTGCCCCTGCGTGGTGATGTGGACGAGCAGTAGGCAGTATCTCAAGAAATAACGGAAAGGGCTGAGGGCTGATCTGAGGGCCAGGGGTCAGGGGGACTTCCTGCCCTGTCTACCCGACTGGTTCCTGGGAGACCCTTCTCTCCCAAGGCGCCCCCACCTGCCCTGGGGGCCTCTCCTCACAGGTGGTCCTCCCGCTCCCGACCCCCACCCCGCCCGTTCGCTCCCACCCCGCTCCCACCCCCACCCCTCGAGACAGGCGATGCACGGC